ACAGGCTTCCCTTTACAAAACATCCCTCCACTATGACCCTTTACCTCCTATGTGCAAGCCAATTTTGGATCAAGTTCACCTTGGAAACCATGGGGTCTTACCTTTTGGAACAGCCTTCCATGTGGGACCTTGTCAAAGGACTTAGTGAAGTTCACGTAAACCACGTCAATTGCACTACGCTCACCAATATTATTTAGTCACCTTTTCAAAAAAAGACTTAAATTAGATAGATCCCGCTCCAACAAACCTGTACTGACTATTCCTGCCTTTCCAAATATTGATCAATTGTCCCTCAGAATTTTTTCTGACCATTAATGTAAGATAACTATTCTGTAATTACCGGCCCTATCACTACTGCCCTTCCTGAAGAAAAGAAACATATTAGCCATCCTCCAGCCAAATTGGCACTTTACCTGTGTCCAGTGAGATATTAAATATCTCCACCAAGGCCCCAGCAAACTCCTTAGACATAGTAAGAACTGCCGATGCTGGAGTCAGAGATAACACAGTGTGGAGCTGGAGGAACACAGCAGGCCAAGCAGCATCAGAGGACCAGGAAAGTTGACGTTTCGGGTCATGAAGAAGGGTCTCAATCTGAAATGTCAATTTTCCTGCTCCTCTGATGCTGCCTGCTGCTGTGCTCCTCCAGCTCCACACTGTGTTATCCCAGCAATCTCCTCCCTTCTTTCCCATTGCAGCCTGGGATAAATTCCATCAGGCCCTGGGGAATTTAAAGACCTTTATACCTGCTAAAACATCTATTACCTCCTCCTTATTAATTACCATTCCAACTGAAACCTCTAGCGACAATATCTTTTTCCTTTGCAAATACAGATGACAATATTCATTTAAGATCTCACTCATGTCCTCTGGCTCCAATATGCAGATTGTCTCTTTGGTCTCGAATAGGCCCCACTTATTCCCTGCTAATCCTCTTGCTCTTAATATACTTATAAAAATGCCTTGGAGTTTTCCTTCCTTCTACATGTCAAAGATTTTTCTTTGCCTCTCTTTACCTTCCTAATTTCTTTATAAGTACTCCCCTAAGCTCTTGAAGGGCCTCCTCTCTTTTTTATTGCTCTGCATCAAGCACAGCAGCACGGTGGCTCAGTGGTTAGCACTGCTGCCTCACAGTGCCAGGGACCCTGGTTTAATTCCACCCTCAGGCGACTGTCTGTGCGGAGTTTGCACATTCACCCTGCATCTGCGTGGATTTCCTGTGGGTGCTCCGGTTTCCTCCCACACTCCAAAGATGTGCACGTTAGGCGGATTGGCCATGCTAAATTGCCCGTAGTGTCCAGGGGTGTGTAAGTTAGGTGGATTAGACATGGGCAATGCAGGGTTACAGATAAAGTGTAGGAGGATGGGTCTGGGTGTGATGCTCTTCGAAGGGGCGGTGTGGACTTGTTGAGTTGAATGGCCCGTTTCCACACTGTGGAGATTCTGTGATATGCTTCCTTCTTTTTCTTTACCAAACTCTATATATCCCTTAACATCCAGGGTTCCCTAGACTTGCTACCCTTGCCCTGAATTCGCACTATACTACTTTTAAGACTCCCACTTTCCAAATGTGCACTTACCTCCAAGTATCTTCCCAGTTTATATTTGCCAAATTCTGTTCAATAATATTTAAATTGGCCTTTCCCCAATTTAAGCACTTAATTTCGCAACTATCTTTATCCCTTTCCATAACGATTTTGAAATTTACAGTAATGGTCACTATCCTCAAAAGGCTCACCCACTGAAACTTCAACCACTTGACCATCTTCATTCCCTAAGATTAAGTCTAGCACTGCCACAACTCTAGGAGGACAGTCTACATACTGGTACAAAAACCTCTTCTGAATGCACTTTAAAAATGTTACTCCATCTAATCTTTTCACACTAAAGCAATCCCAGTCAATGTTAGCAAAGTTGAAATCCCCTTCTGCTATAACCCCATTCCTCTCACATCTTTGTGATTCGCCTACATATCTGCTCCTTTATCTCCCTCTAACTGTCGGGATATCTATAGTTTGCGAGGATTATAAATTCTACTCAGATGGCCTCCTTTGAAGAGCATTCTAAGCCATCCTCCCTCATAATTACATTGGTGGTCTCTTGTATTAGTAATGCAATGCCCTCCACCCCTCTTACATTCCACCCCCAAAATCACTCCTGAAATGTTCTATACCCTGGAATGTTTAGCTGCCAGTCCTGCCCTTCCTTCAACCATGTCTCAGTGATTGGAAAAGTATCATATTCCCACATGCTGATCAATGCGGAAATAGGTAAGACTTTTTAAAGTTCACTCATGCAACAAGGGCATCACTGACTAGGCCAACACCTCTTCCCCATTACTAATCTTGCTCTGGAAGGTGGTCATAAACTGCCTTCTTGAACCGCTATGGTCCATGGGGTGTAGGCACACTCGCAATGCTGTTAGGAAAAGACCTCCAGGATTTTGTTCCAGAGACAGACAGTGAAGAAACTGCAGAATATTGCCAACTCAGGAAAGCACTTATAGCTTGAATGGGAACGTACAGGTACCTGATGGGCTGTCAGGCATCTGCTTGCCCCTGGCCTTCAGATGGCGGTGAAGGTCATGGATTTGGCTGCGGTTGGAGAAGCCTGACATTTGGAATATTGAGAGCAATTTTGGGTCCCGTTATCTAAGAAAAGATGTGTTGGCATTGGGGGGAGCAGGGAGTCCAGAGGTGGTTTACAAGAATAATCCTGAGGATGAAGGGCTGAGGACTCTGGGTCTGTACTTGATGTAACTTAGAAGGAGCGAGGGGTCTCATTGGAACTTAGAAAAAGCTGGATAGACTGGATATGGAGAAGACGATTCCACGAGGACAGACTAGGACTCGAGGCCACAGCTTCAAAGTGAAGGGATAACACTTTAGAACTGAGATAAGGAGGAATTTCTTCAGCCAGAGGGTGGTTAATTTATGGAATTCATTGCCGCAGAAGACAGTGGAGGCCAAGTCATTGAGTGTATTTAAAGCAGAGGTGGATAGGTTCAAGATTAGTAAGGGAATCAAGGGTTATGGGGAGAAGGCAGGGGAATGGGGTTGAGAAACATATCAGCCATGATCGAATGGCAGAGCAAATTGGATAGGCCAAATGATCTAATTCTGCTCCTATACCATATGGTCTAGGATGATAATTAAGTGGATAGCCAAAACAGTAGAATATAAATTAAAAGAAGTCTACACCAAACTGTACAGTGTTCAGGTTAAATCACATCTTGCTCTGACTGCTGAGAACAAGGAGATAAGGCAGTGTGGAATAACAATCCCCAAATGTTAGGGGTCAGAGTTGAGGCCAGACGGGAACGTTCGAATTTTCATCTTGAAAATGAAAAGTCTAATTACAGGCACACAAAATAACAAATGCCAATACAACAGTCTTCTAAGCATTAAATGATTCACTGGCACTATTTTGAAGAACAGCTGGAGAGTTCTACCAGGTTCTTGGGCTCATACTTGTCCCTCAATTAGCTTCAACAGGACAAGTAATTGTCTCTTTGCTGTTTGTGGGAACTTGATGTGCAGAAAGGGGCTATTACATTTCCTATATTGTAAGGGTGGTTACATTTTAAGGAAATATTTTGTTCGCAACAAAACCCTTTGAAACAGCATGAGGTTGTGCCAGGCGCTGTTCAACTACAATTTTTTAAAAATCTTTCAAGCAGAATGGTAGAGGTAAAAGTCCTGGAAACAATTAAGAACTACCAAATCAATAAATGGAGGTCAAGCAGGATTAATCTGCATAGAGATCCTGAGATGGGCTGAACAGCTTTTCTCATCTACATATCATAGAATCATGGAATCTCTACAGCATGGAAACAGGCCCTTCAACACAAGTCCACACCAACACCCCGAAGAGCATCCCATCCAGACTCCTCCCCCTCCCCCTACCCTTTCCCTGTATTTCCAATGGCTAACACACCTAATCTACACACGATGGGCAATTTAGCATGGCCAATCAACCTAGCCTGCACATCTTTGGACTGTGGGAGGAAACCGGAGCACCCGGGGGAACCCCACACAGACACGGGGAGAACATGCAAACTCCACACAGGCAGTCGCCAGAGGGTGGAATTGAACCCGGGTCCCTGGCGCTGTGAGGCAGCAGTGCTAACCACTGAGCCACCATGCCGCTTGCTGTCATCACACCAGTGTAAAGATGTGGAATATATCAATGTATCAATGCATATGCACTCCAGTATTTATCTGGCAAACAGTGGGGAACGGTAGCATGGCGATTGTTTTACTAAACCGATAATCCAGAAAAATTAGTTCAAATTCCATGAATCTTGAATATCGTTAGTTATCAGTAGTGGTTAGCATGCAATGTTACATGAAAAATCCACTATACACTTCAGGGAAGGAAACCTGCCACCATTACCTAGTCCAGTCTCTGTGCAATTCCATGCCCTCAGCAATAAGACTCATCTAAATAATCAATTGAGTTCACAGGTGATTTCAGCGAACAGCTCACCAACACTGCCTCGAGGGCAACTAGGGGTTGTAATAAATGGCCTTGCTAGCGACACCCACATCCAGTGAGTGAACAAAAATAAACTTCTTCAACATGGAACTGAGTCATAGCAACCAGCTAGTTTATTTTATAAAGCTGGGTGAATTGAAGGAGCAGAGATAGCGGGCTTACAATAGGTGGTGGCATTTCCAGAATAGCTTTATGAGACTATGAAGAATATTTACTTAGGTATCAGAGCATACTGACCAACTTAAGTAGGAGCTTAGTGCCTTCAGGAGGAGAGGACATTGGAAGGTATTTGTTATAGCATATCTACTTTCAGAAAACAAGAACTTATTATACATGTGCATATCCATTACAACACAGAAACACACAGACAAGACAGAGACTGCAACAAATCAACCCAAGATTCATAGGCATGCAATCTTACTACTAAAAATCATAGTTAATGCACTGACACTTTCTACAAGTACATATTTAACACACCCAAAAAATGACACCAACAACATACATTAGAAGTCAGATGTAAATTTATTTTTCAATTTTATTTCTACATGTAACAGAGAATCATGCTGGGATAGTTAATGTGAAGTGGCACAGTATTAGTGCTGGTACTCATGCGGTGATTACAGTACAAACTGTTTATTACACAGTGGAATGTCACCATGAACTGTTAAGATGAACAATCTCCTAAAAAAACAATTGGCAAGTTTCCCTCATCTGGACAATGTTTTCCCCATCTCTCTCTTCACTGTAACTCCTAGAAGTATAATTAATTGACAGGGTATTGTTGCTTTTCAGGAATTTGTTTGGAGATAAACACAAAGTAAACATTCTACCTAAACAGGTTATAATTTCCCCTTTGTCAGTTCAAATGTAGGATTTCATTTCTTGTTGCACTAGTTACATTCAATGCCATTACCATCACTGAATCCCCCAACATCAACATCCCAGGATTACTGTTGACCAGAAATCAAACTGGACCCAGCCATACAACTATTGTGCTGGCAGTAACAGGTCAGAGACCTGGAAATTTTAAGGCGAATAACTCACCTCCTAATTCCTCAAGCCTGCCCACCATTTACAAAGTAGAAGTCAGGAGGGTGGAGTTGGTTGATTGGCACCCTATCCACCAACCTAAAGATTCCCTCCCACCAACACCAACAAACAGTGGTAGCAGTGTACTATACACAAGATGTGCTGCAGTAACTCGCCAAGACTCCTTCTAAAGAACCTCCTAAACCCAAGACCTCTAGCACCTAGAAGAACAAGGGCAGCAGATTCAGGCAGCCTGAAAGATCCCCAAAAAGCCATGCACAATCCTGAAGTGGAATGATAATCACTGTTCCTTCACTGTCACTAGTTTAAAATGCCGGAATTCCCTCCCTCATAACACTATGGACCTACCTACACCACATGAATTGCAGCAGTTCAAGGCAGCAGCTCACCACGACCCATGAGGGCAATCAAAGAGGAGCAACAAATTTTGGCCTCGCTCGTGTTGCCCAATTACAATGGAAGGATTAAAAAAAAAGCAGAATTGCTGGATAATAAGACATAAATGAAAGAGATTAATATTATATATAAATTATCCAGGTAATATGTTGTTAGTTCACACAATTTAATGTTAATCTGTTGCAATGTATGCTGTCTCAACTCTACAAGGTGCACACATCATTGAAGTTCAGCTGTCCTAATAGAGCCTGCTTTTGTTCATTTCATAAAATATCTAACATGCAAGAATGGAGATGCACATCAGATTTATCTTTCCCTAAACTTATTCTACAAAGTTGAAAACTTAGTAATCTCAGAACCCAAGCTCTTTACAACACAAAACCAAACTGGAAAGCAATAAAAATACTGTAACAACTTCGTAGCCAAATTGTTTTTACAATTTGTGACTTTGTTTATGCCTTTTTGTGAAATAAAGAAAACTCCAGAAGTCTTTGCATTGTGCTCGTTTAGTCGCACCTGACAATAAATTTCCTGCCTGGTTTTGCCCTTTGGCGTTACAAGAGTTACACAGCACTCATAAGGCTGTGGAGCAAGAGAGGATTTATTTAATTAAGTTGGTTGTGTTAAGTAAGGTGGCAGATGTCAATCAATACAGACAGAAATAGGATGAAAGAAGGTGCACACACAGACAAACAAACATAACATGTTACTTATTGGCTGGAAAAATAATGAACTGTCACTTTCACTCAGTACAGTCCCTTACATACTTCACATGAGTCCCAGGACCTTCAGTACTGCCTAACATTAATGATGTTATAATGGGACAAGGCCCACCAAATGGTTCAGCTTCAAAAATGCGCGCAGGGTGTTGAATAACATTGCCCACTACAAGATCAGTGTATGGTCACATGTCAAAGTCTTACTAAATGAAATAGAAAACTGTAAAAAATCTTGGCCTAAATTCCTAACACTGTTCCATTTGTTGCCAATATACATACTAAATCAGAAGTCCCAAAAAAGATTTAATTATATTTATTCAATATTAATGTTAATATATTGGTTTCTCTGTTATTCAAAAGTGTGCCAAACATTAAAAAATTTTTAAAATGTATGAATCTAATGTTTCTGCAAAGGGTTCTTTCTCTTAATTATCCCTGCACCTTTCTCACACAAATAAAAGTTTGAGAAGCTGTTGAATACCTTGGCAGAGAAATACAAGTTGAGCACAAAATTACATCAAGGGAAGGATTTTCATTTGATGAAAGCTATATAAACCTAAAAACACCAGAGGCTCCTGACTATACTTTGATATGGTACAGCATTATTATAAAAGAAAAGAATACACAAGCTTTAAAATTAATCATGCCTACAAGGTAGGTAACCAGAGTGGCAGAAACTAGTCTGAGATACCTGTAAATTCTCCCAAACATGATGCTTGCCTAATCACCAAGCATGTCTTGAACTGATACCATGTTGATCATCACTTAGGTTAGTACTGATTGTATTAAAAACTGCCACTAATAGGATGCCAAAATTATATCACTGTAGATCACATTTCAGTCATTCTGGAGTTAAACAGGCCAGTGTGATGACAGATATTCTTTATATCCTGTTGTCAATGGTTCTGTGAAATTGATCAGCTGGACATAGAGGATATGCTATGGTTAAAATAGTAATATTTCTTCAAAAGTTTCTTTGTCATCTGTATTGACATTCTATTGATCAAATGTCTGTAGTCTGCAATCATTTTGCCCAATGAGTTCCTCAGCTGGATTTGTTTTTAATTCTAAGATTCCACTTAAGTACTTACTCACAGAGAACATATTTCCAATATATGGTTAACTTGTTGGCATGCTGATGTCTTTATTCTGAAGGAAGGTGATTACTAAAGTTGCTATTGGTTACAGGTGACTTTGTGCCAGGAGATAAACAGAAATTTTAAGTAATCCACGTATAGAACAGTGATATTAGAAAGGAATTACTCCAGATCCACTATTCTTGTTTCTTCACAATGTATACAATGGTTTATGCTGAAATTTAACCATGGATTAAAATGTTCTCTCTTGGTCACTAATGGTGACCTTCATTGCTATTACAATAACTTTATGGTTTAGCCAATAATTGATGCACTGTTGCTAGTGAACAACTGACTGAAAAATGCAGATATCTGGCATCAGAATATGTCAAGCGATTTGGAAGCTGGGGCTTATTCATGTGCCATGTTGGTGAACTGATAAATGGTGGAAAAGTACTACAAACTATCTTGTATAATGTGGAAAGGGAGAATATAAGCAATGCTCTTCCCAATCCAAAGTGAACAAACCAAATTAACCAATGACTAAAGTCAGTTTCTCTGTGACCATTATATCCAAAGCCAACTTGACATCAATTGCACCTTGCTGCATCTTGAATACTTGCAATGTTTGAAAGAAAAATCTTTTTGAGCTAAGTGTTAAATTTTATTTTATACTTTTTGCTTGATGTTGGAATATCATTATCCATTATGAAATTAATGACATTTTGACGGTATTGATTTAAGTACAAGGTGAATTGAATAAATATTGCATTCACTGAAGTATTTCCAATGGTTGAGTACAAAATCACATTACAGAAGACAATGAAAGCTGTGTTTCAGCATTTGTTCCTTATAAAATTAAAAAGGTTGCAAAAATAAATGTGGACTAGAGAACATTAAGACTAGATTCCCCTGTGAGGCAATATTACAGACCGTTCCTATGTCCCAAGATGTGGACAGGTCTCAACACAAGGTACTGGACAATATACTCCCACTGTGCAGACAAAATTCACGTTATTGACAAAAGATCTCTCAGTCTGGACAGGATTACTGTAACACAGCATTTTACCGATGATACCCATTGCATTGATAATACCAGCAGGATTCAGCGTGGGATATCAGATCTATCATTAAGCAAGACAACATTACAGTACTGATTCTCTACTACTGGGATAAATATTCTAGTTAATTACATAAAATTACATAGAATTTACATCACAGAAACAGGTCATTCAGCCAAATAGGTGCTAGCCAGCATTTATGCTCCACACGAGCCTCCACCCACACAACTTCATCTAATTCCATCAGTAAAACCTTTGATTCCTTTCTCCCTCATGGGCCTATCTAGTTTCTCCTCAAATGCATTTATCCTATTTGCTTCAACCACTCCATGTGGTAGCAAGTTTCACATTCTCACTCCTCTATGTGTGAATCCTATTGGATTTATTAGTGGCTACCATTCATTTATGACCCCTAGTTTTGGATCCTCCCCCTCCCTCTAAAAACTCCAACAAGCAGAAACAGAAACTATTTCAAGCACAAGGAATTGAAGTAGTACTGCAAGCAAAGGCATATGAACTTGGATATCAGTCAAGTGAATAGAACAACCAGCTAGTGCAGGTTTGAAATCCATCTCTATTTTTAATATTACAGTAAAACTCCTGGAACTTGAAATTTAACTGACTTTGACAGCTGATTTTTTAAAAATTAAGTAGTTATTTACACTGTCGATCAAAGTAATCATCAATGATATCAGCATTCTGGGACAATTTAAATTCTGCAGTAATTATTTATTTGATTACAGGACTTATTTTCTATCTCAATATGGAATTACCGTTACATTCTTTCCTTTTGTTTTGCATGGAAGGACAGAAATGTCTGCAAATTGATCAATATCACACTGTCAAGTGATATGAATTGGATATTCTCAAACTTCTGGGCTACCCCGAAAAGGAAACTTCCAAATGGATCCCATCATTTACCCATGACCACAGGTTACTCACCCAGAGCAAACAGTATCCAAAGATAGCACACAGGATCCCAGTTTCTACAAGCTTACTGGGAGTATGGAAAGACCTTAACTGGAGATCATCATCAGCCTATTTAAATATTCTGGCAGAATCAGATTCACCAGCTGACTATTGGCCAAATTGTTGGTCTGCTCAGGAAGATGAGAATATAAGCTCAATTTTCATTGAAACTTAATATCAAATTTGGTCCAAGATCTAAACTATCAAGAGTATTGAGGATAAGCAATCATTTGGGTGCATATGGAGTCCTATTTGCCTAAAATAATTATTACTGAAAACCCTGCTAGCTTTCAGCACTCTTCCCTCTAAAATGCCTTTTCTGAACTTCATTGAAGTACAGTTGGAAAAGTTGTAGAGACATATAAAGGGGTGGGAGTCCACTGTGCAATATCTTGTTGTTCGATTACCAATACTGGCTTTGTCATGCTCATTGAAACAGCAGGTATCATGTGGAGCATTAAGTTTGCTCACCATATCCCAACCAGCAGTTAGGCAAAGCTATCAATTTTCTGGGATCCAGGACACAGATTCTTACGATTAAAAAAACTGCAAAAAAAAAACAGTAGCTATGCAAAAATATACTCTATACAGATGAACCTTAAGCTCATAACTCATTCATTTAAAAAATAACCCTCATCATTTTAAGAATACAAGTAATTAAGAAGCAAAACAAACTGACCCGATACTGCTAAATTTTTGTTTCAGCAAAATTAACACTGCTGATTGATCAAAGGGTTTGCTCAAAGCAGTAACTAACATAGAATTTATGTGGATGTATACTTTATAAATAGATATGGTAAAGCGTAATTCTGTTTCTCATAAAATGGTTCTAGAATATCTAACCTTAACTATGTTGAATAACTTACACTTGGTTATGCCAGAGTGACCACAGACTTGGTTCTGCTTAATTCAAAATGACCATGATGACAGCATTAACAGCAGCTGTGCTTTCAATTAAGCAAAGGCTCAGATTGGAGAAAAAGAGACATACAGACACATACATAGTCGATCATGTAACTAGTAAGAAATGAAGTTAAAGGGCACACTGACCTTGAGTGAGTACTGTCAAAAGTGGATATACCAGCCACCCGCACTAATTCCACTCATAAGTAAACAGCCCAAGCTCAAGAGTTCTCACAGGCCTGTAAATCTACATGATCTCAAGTCTTTTAATCTAGTGCTAAATTAAGTATCTCTCGTTTTGATCACTTAACATTGAAAGCCATCTTCACAAGTCAGCATGCTATTCTGCTTAGGTTCCGAAGCCAGAATCACGACGTGAAATAACCAATTTAACTACTGGCTACAATCATTAAGCTACCGGTTTAAAGAAAAGCTAAAAAGTTTCCAAACCATTGCTATTAGCACGCTTGCACTTCAAATTTTCAAGTGTTACAATCTCTGTTGGCTTCCACCCCTTTATTTGTGACAAATGAAGCAACCCTGTAAAGAGACTACAACTGATTGCTGCACTGTGACCTTCACACTTGCAGTTGCCTTCATTCAGTTGCAAAGGTTTAACATAAGGAACATTTCTATTAAAGCATATGCTATTCCAGTTTACACAACAAAGAAATAAACACATCAACAGTCGTGCATGAAAAAAGGACAAGGGAAAAGCAGCAGGCACACATATAGACAGACAGCATCCCTTTTATGGCTAGGCTGGGCTGCAATTTAAGATTTAGCAAAATGTACATCAATGCTTTATCACATTTTAAAATATAATTTTTGGGCTTTGATTTGTGAAGCTGAACTTTTGGCTAGCTGCTGTCACATATTAATGCTGGACATTTACAGGAGAAGATTCAGCACTCATCAACTGACTTAACTGCTTCACCTTGAAAGAAGTGTATCTATGCCAAAAAAAAGCCACTGATATCACTGCAGTCTGCCTTAAGTTAAGCTTATGGCCTGTTCCACACTTGAATTTGACTGCTGCAGTGGAGACTTTTTGCAAACAGAAACAGCAGCTGTCAACAAAATATGGAGACCCTGAACTGGTAAATAAATGTATTACACTTGCTTGTAACGGCTCTGATTACTTAGAGGGCTTGAATATCACTTTTCTAATACTGTATCTAAATACAATCAGCAAATATTTTCCCCTTCTCGGGATCTATACAGGAGCTCCAATGACATCTTTTAATTCCAGCTCTCTACGGTTTTGCCCATTTTCAGAATAGAAAATGTCTGTCCTGAGAACATATATAGGGACAAACTGTACAATTTACAGCTGCTGGTATATGAATAATGAGGGGATCACAGGAATTCAAGTGTCAGAACTCCTCCATACTGTAGCCTAACATATCTTCTGGCCATCCAAAAATTGCATGAACCATGAATCTGGCACATGACCTTTTTCTTCTAAATTTGAAATATAGGCTGGTCCCTTCTCAAGAAGTTCTCTGCCAGAAGTGCTAAATTGTAAAACCAAGCCCCTGTAAAGACCAGTTCTAAAGATTAAAAGTTATAACAACTGTATGGGCGTATAGTACTTTCAGAAACAGAACTCAAACCTGTTCTTTTGAAAACCTATACTAAATTTTAAATCAACATATTAATAAATAGGGCCACTGATGCACAATTCAATTATAGCTTCAATTACTGACATTATCTTCTGGTTAAGAGACCAATTAAAACAAGAATTGTGTACATCACTTTAAAAACCTAGCTGATAGCCAAGAAAAGGGACACGTCTTATTATTTAAAAAAGGAAATTTAAAAAATTAGTTTAAAGTTACAAGTAATAAATACATCTGACACATGGAATTCCAGTAGCTTCGCGTCCTTAAAAATCCCAACATGGGCTCAGCCAGTGAGACTGAATTGATCTTGTTCAATGGGTTTTTTCACCCACATGCCTAATCCACTCCTTTGGAACTCTTTGATCAGGGACTCCTTGGCAGCTTGATATTCGGTGGCAGCCTGTTTTGCTTCATAATATGAAGTGAACTTCTCTTGTTTGGATCGATTTAAGAATGGCAACTATTGAGGTACAGGACAAATATGGTAGTGGGGGTTTGGGAGGAGAGAGAGAGAGAGAACAGGTTTGTGAGTTACAAATTTTAAATCTTCATTCAGTGCAAGGGTCTCCATTCAATTTCCATTACAACTTTGCCCACAAAATGTTCCTAGACAAAACAAGTGCAAGTGGCCAATGATTGTAGTGATCAAAACTAAGGAAGAAGGATTTAACTTCTGGCCAAAATGTCAGCTCACATTCTGTACCTGTCTGTTGTTAGAGTCAGCATTTGTTGTAATTTGGCTATCAATATTTCTTTTGAAATAACCAAAACCAAGCAGTACAGGTGATGGTTAAAATGACTTTGAAACTGACAGATTATCTTAAAGTCCAATTGGTGTACTAATGTCTTTCAGTAAAGGTTACTTATGATCTCCACATGGTCTGCTTTCCTTGTGACTCCAGCTTAACAGCCTCTGAAACAGCATAACCAGCATACATCTGTGTCAGACCAGAAGATACAGGTGCACAAGTAGACCATTCAGCCTACTAAGTCCACTCTGCCATTCAGTGAGATCTCAATCTTCAGTTCCACTTTCCTGCCTTTTTCCTACAACCCCTTGATTCCCTTTCTGATTAAAAATCTGTCTATCTCAGCCTTGAATATCCTTAAAGACCTCACCTCAAAGCCCTCTGCGGTAATGAATTTCACAGATTCACTATCCTCCAAGAGAAGAAACTCCTCCTCATCTCTGTCTTAAAAGGGTACAGTTTTCTCCTAAGATTATGCTCGTTGGTCCTAGACTCCCATACAAGGGAAAACAACCCCTCCACATCTACCCTGACAAGTTCAAAGAATCTTGTAGGTTTCCATAAGGTCTTCATTCATTCTTCTAAGCTCTAATGACAACAGGCCCAGCTGACTCAATCACTCCTCATAACACAGTCCCTCTATATCTGGTATCAGCCTCGTGAACTTTCTTTAGACCGCCTTCAATATGAGTATATCTTTCTTCAGACGAGGGGGACAAAACTGTTCACAGTATTCCAGCTACAGTCTGACTAGTGTCTTGTACAGTTTTAGCAAAATCTCCCTATTTTTATCTCCATTTCTTTTGAAACAGAGGCCAACATTCTTTTTGCCTTCCTTATTACCTGCGAAACTTGGATACTAGCTTTTTGTGATTTAGGCATGGGGATGCCTAAATCCCTCTATGCCATAGTTTTTTGTAGTCTTTCTCCATTTAAATAATAATCAGCTCCTATGTTCTTCCTGCCAACGTGCAAATCTCAGATTTTCTCACATTATATTCTATCTGGCAAGTTTTCCGCCCACTCATTGTCTATATCCCTCTGCAGACTCTTCGTCTTCCTCACTTCTTGCCTTCCCATCATGTTTGGTGTCATCACAAACTTTCCCCATCCAAGTCATCAACTTATTTTGGAAATATTTGCAAACTCAGCACTGGTTCCTGTGGCACACTACGGTTTCATGCACCCCCATCCCAACTCTCTGCCTATTAGCCAATTGTCTATTCAGGCTGATGTACAACCTGCAGGTGGCAGGAGAAACACCATGACGAAATGACATGCTCTATGCTAACTTCCTGACGTACAGTAACTGCAAATATGTCTGTCCAACGGCAGGAGTAACCACCATACAATCTTATGAAGACACAGTCTCATTTTCACTGTAGGATCGTTAGGATAACTAACATTTCATGATTACCTTAGTTTTTGACACAGTTGAAGTATATTCAGCGATCAATATATTATTCTGCTTAAACGTAACCAATGCAGATCTTGGCACTGCAACATCATATGACTGTTTAGCGTTATTTGACAAAAAATTGCACCATGGGAATGCAATTAGGATGAAGACAATAAACTAATGTTTTAGAATTACAGCTGTAAGGCTAAAGGGGTCCTGCTTAGACATCCAAGCCTGAATAAGACAGAGATAGCATACCCCTGACCAGTTAGCCCTTATAAAGAAATTGTGATCACAGCTGTTTACTTGTATTGTTGTGTTAGAAATACAGCAATTGACCAAATGAAACTTTTGTATTAGAGTTAACATTTTAACTGTATTTTCAAGTTTGGAATCGTGCAATCCTTTAGACTTGGAAAGTACAAAGATCTTTATTTCTGGTATTAGTTTTGCCTTCAGATTTTACACGGTAACCTATTTCCAAGCATTCAAACAGCAAAACCAAAATCAGGATAAAGCAAATGATCAGTGATAAGTAAGTGCCAAACTGATGATTGAGACACAAGCTCAAGGATATCAATCTTTGAGTCCTGACTGCAAATGTCTCTTTTCTAAGAAAAAGTTAAAAAAAAATTCAAACTATCCTCAACTTAGAAGTCATTTAGTGACAATTACAGAACTTAAGAGGAGAGACCCATGGATAGTTGACAACTTAAGTAACAGATCAGGAGGTAGTGGGAGATGACATCAGTGAATATCCATCAGCCTTAAGAGCCAATTAGAAATTAATTATGCATCATTAAACCAATTAGTAATAAGCTCACCCAATCTAGGCCAATTAAAATTAAAACTGATCATGCTATGGATGTGGTTCAGAAAGGGTGATAAACTGCTGCTTTTGCTGACTAAAGTATGCAAGAAACTTGAAATTGTTCTGCTTCCAATCAAAAGTGAAAGGCCCTCAAGACATTCAAGACAGAGACTCTGGTGTCGATCGCACCCTGAGCTGAACTGGAATGCAAGTGCCATAGTACACGCTTCGAGACATAAAACGCTGAAACAGACCCTTCGGTCCAACTTTCCATGGCAACCAGATATCCTAAACTGTTCTCGTCCCATCTGCCAGCATTTGGCCCATATCCCTCTAAACCCTTCCTATTCATATACCCATTGAGATGCCTTTTAAATGTTGTTATTGTACTTGCCTCCACCCTTTCCTCTGGCAGCTCATTCCATACACGCATCACCCTCTGCATGAAAACGTTACCCCTCAGGTCCCTTGTAAATCTCGTCCCTCTCACCTCAAAGGTAGGCCCTCTAGTTTTAGATTTCCCATGCCCTGGGAAAAAGACCATGGCTATTCACCCTATCCATGCCCCTTATGATTTTATAAACTTCCCTAAGTTTACCCCTCTGTTTCTGACACTCCAATGAAAACAGCCTCAGGTTATTCAGCCTCTCTCTATGGCTCAAACCCTCCAATCCTTGCAATATCCTTGTAAATCTTTTCTGAACCCTTTCAAGTTTAACAACATCTTTCTTATAGCAAGTGGACCAGAATTGAACGCAGTATTCTAAAAGTAGCCTAACTAATATCCTGTAAAGCTACATGGCATCCCAACTCCTATACTCAGTGCACTGACCAATGAAGGCAAGTGGGTCAACACTGCCTTCTGCATCCTGTTTACCTGAAACTCCATTCAAGGAACTATGTACCTGCACCCCCAAATCTCTTTGTTCGACAGCACTCCCCCAAGACCCTACCATTAACTGCATAAGTCCTGACCTGGTTTGCCTTACCAAAGTGCAACACCTCAAATTTACCTAAATGAAACTCCATCTGCTACTCCTCGGCTCATTTGCCCAACTAATCAAGGTCCTGTTGCACTGAGATAACCTTCTTCACTGTACACTACACCACCATTTTGGTGTCTTCATAGTTCATAGTATCCCTACAGTGCGGAAACAGGCCCTTTGGCTCAACAAGTCCACAAAGACCCTCAGAGTATCTCACCCAGACCCATCCCCCTATAGCCCATCTAATTTACATAGCCCTGGACACTATGGGGCAATTTAGCATGACCAATCCACCTAACCCGCACATCACTGGACTGTGGGAGGGAACCCACACAGACACGGGGAGAACGTGTAAACTCCACACAGACAGTCACCCGAGGGTGGAATCAAGCCCAGGTTCCTGGCACTGTGAGGCAGCAGTGCTAACTTACTAACTATACCTCCTATATTCATATTCAAATAATTTACACAAATGATGAAAAGCAGCAGACCCAGCCTCCAGTCTGAAAAACCCTCCACCATCACCCTCTGTCTCCTATGTTCAAGCCAATTTTATATCCGATTGGCTAGCTCTTCCTGGATTCCATGTGATCTAACCGTGCTAACCACCTATCACATGGAACCTTGTCAAACACCTTAAGTCCATATAGACAATGTCTACTGCCCTGCCTTCATCAATCGTCTTTGTCACACCTTCAAAAATACTCGATCAAGTTCTTCAGACGTGATTTCCCACACAAAGCCATGTTGACTCTTCCTAATTAATCCTTTTCCAAATGCATGTAAATATTGTCCCTCAGAAATCCCTCCAACAACTTACTAACCACTGATGTCAGGCTCACCAGACCCTGGCTTTTCCTTCCCACTTTTATAATGTAGTGGCACCACATTTACCAATCTCCCATCTTCCAAAACCTCACCTGTGGCTATCAATGATACAAATATCTCAACAAGGGGCCCAGCAATCTCTTCCCTAGCTTCCCACAAAGTTCCAGGATACACCTGATCAGGTCCTGGGATTTATCCATCTTTATGCGTTTTAAGATGTCTAGTACCTCCTTTTCCGTAATATAGACCCTTTTCAAGATATTATTTATTTTCCTAAGTTCCGTAGCTTCCATATCCTTCTCTACAGTAAATACTGACATGAAATACTTGTTTAGCATCTCACCCATCCCCTGTGGTTCCACACATAGACAGCCTCCTGCTTTAATAGGTATGATTTATAACCCAACTAAAATTTCCTGAGTTACTGCACTAGACTGTCTCCTGTTGCCTTATTGGCTACAGCCTCAAATGATCAAATTAATATTGGGATTTGAGTTTAGATTTTATCAGATCCCTACAATGTATTTTACAGTAAGGGTAATCAGCATCGTGCCACATGGCACTATTGCTGTGCTAAGTGGAGGAAATGAAGGAGTGATCTCATTGCCCAAAACTTACTTATCTATGAGTTACTGTGGCCTTTCAGCAATAAGTTTTTCAAATATACATCTAATTCCCTTTTTCAAGCTATTATTGAATCTGCCTTTGCCATTATTTTAAGTAGTACATTCTTCATTTTGTATCCTGTTGCAAAATAAAAAAATTCTCCTGAACTCCGTCCAGTACTTGCACCAATGATCTTTATTCTGTCTCTGGTTTTTGAACCCCATGCCAATGGAAACAGTTTCTCCCAATCTACTCTATCAATCTCCTTCATAACTTTGCACCATTTTAGTTCAATAGGTTGGCTTATACTCCATTTTATGGTCTTTTACAGTTGGGAGTCAGCCATAAAGTTGTCATGAAAACTACTTAACGGATGACACCAATATCACAGCTAAGTGAATATAGTCTCAAGCAAAGTCATTTGATGAGGAACCAACAGCCGAAAGGAAACGGTGTACTGAGTGTAGTAAAAATACAACAATGGTCAGTCGTAAATTTAAAATATAGAACTGATTAGACTGCATCAGTCTCATTTTGATCATTTTAAGGTTTCAAAGTAAAATGAATTGAGCCAGTTGTAATAAAACTTTGTTGTGCATAAGGAATTACAGGATTATGTTTTGCAGTCTTTCTCAAAAACCATTTAAGTTGGACAACATGGTAAATGTTCTGTTTATTGGACACAATGTTAGTGAAAATTTACTGTGAATCTTACCCATGGTGATTCACTGTTGCAGCATGAAAGAGTGCTATTGTGAATCTGGTCAAGAGTACTGAACAGGACAACATGAAATGAGCTTTACAACATATAGCACTGAATACTTAGAAGGAAAAACTTTGCATGCTTTGCTGAAACTTAAAGTTAAAAAAGAAATCACTGGAATTTAAATCATGTTTTAAAAAATGGGTGAGAAAATTACGAGACGATCTTACCTTTCCATGCAGGCGTAGCCAGCGACTATGCAGAACATGTTTACATAGTCGAGAAGGGCGCCCCATGTCATCTTTCCCTGTCATGGCATTAATAACTTCCAGGCCCGAGTCATCTACAACCCAATTGACACTGAAGTTTGGCGCCTTGCCTGGTTGCCGTGATTCAGTGTTGCTAATACCTACAAAACAGACAATTTATACAAGTATTCAGTCGTATTTACCACTTTAACTTCTTAATCATGGATTCCAGGATAGAAGTTAATTAAAACAAAGTTTATTTAATCACACTCTCACAAGTTGCAGCATTAAAGAAAATCCTACATTTTTAGGATATCTGAACATATCTGTTACAAAATTTGTTCCATTCACTAGATCTTACCTGCAGTCTCTGTACAAGTAAGACACTGTCAGTTCTACAGCTCTCTATCATGTGGATCTAATGCCAAGAGACAGAATGCTCTCTTACCAAGATGTGTCAGATAGTACAGGAATGTAAAAAAGGAGTGAACACCAACAGCATCATCCTAGCAATAACTTCTCATGTGTCCAAAACAGAAACAGCTGATTCATAAGTGTAGTTTGCACAATTTTAAAGATGGTAGCACTGATGGATGAAGTCATCTAGTGTGGGCTTGACAGCTGTCCCTTTGTCAGCCACCCCAATGCTACGAACTGACACTTGAACCTTCAGAAGTTGCTATTTTTACAGTGATTATCACAGAATCTGGCATATGCATGTGTAGAGTTTAGAAATGGTACTGGAGGTTGCTTGGCAACTTTATGGAACTACAGCCTTCTGTAGAAAAATGGATCAAGCTCTCAGGCCTCACCAAATCTATTTCTACTGATGCAAGTCTGATCTTCAAGGGGCCATAACCTCCCTGGAACTATTTTTGGCAGTTTGGTTTTGGCATTATTGGGCAGATGAGCATCACATAAGTGTTTCTAGTGTATTAACTCTGCTGGACCTTTTCAGCATCTGTTGGTATCTATATGCTTACTATATTGATTGCTACTTATGCCATTGCTTTTAATGTTTTTCTGAAGTAGAACACCTATCAATAACTGAAACCACACATCTGTGCAAATGCCAGGGAATAACACAATCCAAGAACCAAATTGCTTATTTAAATGAACAATACTGGATTTGCTCACTCTAGTTTGCCACAACTATTGCTATGTGGACTAGAGTTAAATTTTCTAATGCATTCAGCTGCATGTTTGATGGAGTGTAAATTAATTTGATGATCCTGGATCCTGTGTGCCTATTTTAGATATATGGCATTAACTTGAGCATGAAATGTTGCAGTTAAAAGATTTCCAAAATTGTAAACTTTGACCAAGAGGCTTTGTGAAAATTGAAGAAAAAATTAAATCATCATGGAGTAGTGACGACAAGTACAAGAAACTGTGAAAGGAGCTTGTATAGATAAAATAGATGGATAAAAACAGGTTGTGTGTCAGAGATGAGATATTTAGTGAGAGGAGGAATGTAAAACTTGTTTTTGGCACTGTTCAGGGATTCATCAGGATTTGTTCATTATTGATCTATGCTGACCTGAAAAAGTAAACAGAATGTGAGAGGAATAGTTTCACATCCTGAGGCATGCCGAGCATTTCACAAACATCAACATGGCAGTATCCAACAGAATATAGCACTAACAAGGAAAATGAGCAACAACATGGGAATAGCACCTTTCAACTTTGCTCCAATTCTGACTCAGATCTATACTATTGTTTGTTGTCATCACTAAGTTGCTAAATTCTCCACTTAACTCCAATGTGGGAGCACCAATAGCACAACTGAAGTTGTTCAAAATGTCTCACTGCCTCAACCTAAAGACAACAACTTAAAGCAGCAAAGTCATTGTCACTCACATTCAGAAAAAGCAAATTATAAGCAACCTTGTTGTAAGATGTTTCAGCCTTTTAACACATTATCTTAACACAGCAAAGTGTAGTTAAGGAACTGATGTTACAATACTAATTCTGCAACTGATGTAAAAAATTTTAAATTTAAGTGTTATATGTTTTAAAAAGGTTCCATTGAAGCTGACAAGCATTCTGACTGGATCACAACCTAAGCATGAAAAGGAATCAGTCCATAATTTGTTTTAAACATGTACATGCTGTAACTGCCTTTGGGATGAGTTTAAGGTTTTAGTTCCTACTTTTGTAACAGGAATAGCATTTCAAAAATGTGCCACTCTTGGTATGAAAAATTCTGACTGACATATCCCTTCCTCTGGTATCCTGTTCATGTTAAGTTTATCTATGCAGTTTTAATATATTGTATATTTCATTTGATTGTTACTTCAGTTCATTTGCTTTCCTCTCAAATGGATTACCTCACACTTACTCCAAAATTAATTTGTGTTTTATTTTATCAGTCCACTTTGGTGTCTGTAGGAATAACATACTTACATGCACTCAGTACTTTTTTTAAAAACTGCCCATTATTCAACTGACAATTTAATTTTATCTCATCATGGGTCCTTACCTCTACCCATGGTGGAGAGTGATACAACTACCATGATACACAAAGACAAAAGGGTGATGGATAAGGAGAATGGCTTTGGGATGATTTGGCACAGTGACCTTAAAGGGCCACACAAGGGAGATTGGGGCATAGGTTAGCATGGAAGGTTTAAGGACCATGGGTGGTGGAGGTGGAAGGGGTGGGGGTTTGATTAAGCACTTGAGATGGCATAAGTTAGTAAAGCTAGGGCCTGAGGAGCGTATGCAATGTGAGGGAGTGTGAACAGTGAGCAGCTGCGATTTAATAACTTTTCTTTTAAAAAGTACTGGCATTCAGATTTGTTGTACTAAGCTGCATGAAATGATAAATAGGTTTTACAAAGTAAGCTGGTGTACTTTATCAGCTTTAAGTTTGCATTAAGGACTAAGTTTAAAATCAGGCTGGATTGTATTTGTATTTAAAAGTCATAAAACCAACTAGCTAGATTTACATAAAACACATTACTATCCCCAAAATAACACATAATATAATTTGAGGTACATTACATCAAAGTGTATCACAGCAGGTTTTGAAGGTATTTAGAGCTCATAAACAAAGGGCAGCATTATCTTGGATTCATTTACAGAAAATCTCCAAAGGTCTTTCAAGCAAGCATAAACAAGATCCAAATGGTAAAATACTGTCAAACGCATCCGAAGCCAGAAGAGACATTTGCAGGAAGTATACCTCCAGCCCTTTTAATGTCTTCTCCTAAAGTTCAGAACTTGTATTTTAAATCTTTGTATGAAAGCATTAAGACTCAACTGTGTAATGTACAAGATGTTTATTTTAGTAGTACTGATGAAAATAATACACTTTGTTGAAGCTTTTCACGTTGCACTCATTGGGATATTTCACAAAATCACAAATTCCAGTGAAAGCCCAACATTTTCATACATGTGAGGACAGTGCCGCTTGATTAGCAAGTGAACTTTGATAGGCATTAATGCTTGACAAGTTCGTAGCCAGGCTTTGTCAAATTTAAAACCATATAGCTTGACTCCCACTGGTCAGTGTATTGCCCTGAGGATTTATTTATTTATTTTTCAGTTTGATTCAGAATACAACTTCTATCTCTCCCTGTTTTATTCTGCAGGCGTATCCCAAGAGAAATTAAATGATTGTTGGTGATATCCTCTATTTAAGGGTGTTTTTCCCAAATATACTAGCAATACCCTAACTGGTTAATGACACTCTCCCCACAAAGAAACTTGCCTCTTACAACTGGTTTTGACTTGCCTGTGATTCTAGTCTATATGCGACTCAATCTGAAGTAGTCTAGATAACCAATTATACAAACAAAATACAAAGCGCAATCGAAAATAATGGGTGGGACTTACCACAATAAACCTGACAATGATTTCCTCTGGATACAACTAAGGCAACAATCTCAGTCTTTCTGACTCTGCAGAATCATATCTTTCAGTCAAACTTCATAAGTCCTCTATAAAAGAAAGTTATCTAAGTGTACAACGGGATCTTGATCAACTGGGCTAGTGGGCCGAGGAATGGCAGATGGAGTTTAATTTAAATAAATGCAAGGTGTTTCATTCTGATAAGACAAACCAGGGCAAGATTTACACAGTTAATAGTAGGGCTCTGTGAAGCGTTGTTGAACAGGGAGACCCAAGGGTGCAGGTATATAGTTCCTTGAACGCGGTGTCTCAGGTAGACAAGGTGGTGAAGGAGGCATTTGGCTCATTTGGTTTCATCTGTCAGAGCACTGAGTACAGGAGTTGGGACATCATGTTACAGCTGTACAAGATAATGGTACAACCACATTTGGAGTCTGCATACAATTCCGGTCATCTTGCTCTAGGAAGGATGGTATTAAACTGGAAAGGGTGCAAAAAATACTTCCAAGGATATTACTGATGCTGGAGGGTTTGAGTGATAAGGAGAGACCAGATAGGCTGGGACTTTTCGCTGGAGGGTAGGGGGCTGAGGAGTAACTTATACAGGTTTATAAAATCGTGAGGGGCATAGATGAAGTGAATAGGCAAGGTATTCTCCCCAGGGTAGGGAATCAAAAACTAGAGGGCACAAGTTTAAGGGCAAAGATTTAAAAAGGACCTGAGGGGACAATGTTTTCACAGAGGGTGGCGCGCATATGGAACGAGCTGCCAGAGGGAATAGTAGAAGCAAAAACAATGACAACATTTAAAAGACATTTGGACAGGTACATGGATAGGAAAGGTTTAGAGGGATATGGGTCAAGCACAGGCAAATAGGACTAGTTAAGTTTAGGAAACCTGGTCAGCATGGATGAGTTGGGCTGAAAGGTGTGTTTCTGTGCTGTATTACTCTACGACTGTAAATTCCTTGGTCCTGTGCTGCCTCACAGCAGACCAGACCCAACAGAAATTGGCAGGTGGAAGGACAGCATTGTGGTACACAAGTGAGTAGATATGGTCCTGTAAAGTTCTCAACACGGACTCCAGCTGTCAAATTTTAACTGACAATAACAATTGCTAAACACCAAGCCAACTGATAGACTGCTTTAATCTCTGATTTGAAAGACAAAATTGCCAGACTAGGGCTGCATCAGGAGCCATGTACCTAATTGCCTTTGTCCTCACTACCCACCTGTCACTGACACTGGCAACTGGTGTATCAATTGCATCAAGGTGGAAGTTGTTTACACCAGCTGGCTCAAACACT